TAGCATACAGAGTAGACTGGCAAAGCCAAGTGAAAAGCGCCAGTTCCAAAAAAAAAAAAAAAATCATTTGCTTAGCAAATAAGCAAAAAAAAAAATCAAAACAAATAAATGACTAAATAATAAAATATTCGGACAACGGATGACCGCATGAGTTGTGCACTAATTATCTAGAAGAATTTTTTTTCCACTTCATTTGCTGAACATTTTGTGCACGGGTGTGTGCTCATCTTTGGGCCAGCTGTAGACAAACATTTCTTACCAACTTTAATAATTCTTTACAACCCTTTCATCTTTTATTCATATTTTCTCCAAAACCTTAAGTAGTCACTTGTGGGGGGAAAAAAGCCACATGCTCTCAGACATCTAATATCGCTAGGCCAGGTTTTTCGATCCTGAGCTAAACACCTTCACTGGACAGTGATAAAAGTCAAAGAAATAAAAAGGAAAATAACCCAAGTTCGAAGCAAAAACAAAAAATAAGGGCAGCTGTTTCGCGATAGGCCAATGATACTGAGTTATGAATCAAAAATGAGGGTTAATCAATGGATCTATGATGTCGAAGATGTTTGATGCAAGATTGGAACAAACAAACAGAGCAAAAGTTCACGGAGGTTATTTTTTCATAAAAAACTTAAAACTTTTTCAGCTGAAATTCGCTGGAATGAGTTCCAACCACCTTTCTCCCTCATACTACTGCCAAAATTTTTACTCGCTCTCCACTCGGCAACCAAGGGTTCCGGATACGTTTAGCGACATCAGCCAAGTCTTTTTTGGTAACCATCCACAGAAATGCTTAATTTCTTCACTAACACTGTCAATATCACTTAATACGTGAGTAGGGCTAAATAATCTCAGAAGTGGATCCACGAAAGATGAAAAAGAATCTCCTTTCCGGAGAATCGCCAGCTTTAACTTTGAGGGGAAAACTGGACTGCCGTACGTGGAAATCTACGGAGGGCGTGGGTGAAAGAACCCTGAAGACAACGAGCATTTTTAACATTCTCAGCAAAATGTGGTATATCGCGATAACAAATTTAATAAAAACAGTGAAAATCTACAAGATTCGTGAAAGTTTTGCAAAATACAAGTATTTTCCGCTAAGAAACTTTCGGAAGACGATTCGTTTTGAACAGAATCTAAAGCTTCAAAGAAAAATGCGGAGAAAAAAAAAGCACACGCGGAATCGGTAAAATCACACGGGATTTGCATAAGTACCAATACAATGATGTGTACAATTAAGTCATTAATTTATTAAAATTATTACATGATCAGCAACTCCTGCTTTTTCTACAGGGACCAAGTGAGTTAGCTCAGGAGCCCAAACGAACGTCAAGTTCGCCAACAAAATTGACTATCAGGTGATGCAGCATCGGTCAAAGCAATTGGAAAAGTTGCCAGCTGAATAGCTGGAGAATCAGGGGGGCTATGAACTGAAGCGCTTGGCAATGCAAAATATGACCGGGGTATTTTGGATCCAAGCGCAATATTTTAGAATTAATGAAAATTAATTGAGTGAATGGAGCTGTACCCGTTAAAAACAAGCCCAAACTCATCTAACCGAACTTAAACTTTACTGAAAATTATCTCATTTCTAGTGAATTTCAATCAACACAACAAATTAGCCTCATTTTCCAGTAGACCTCATTATGCGAAAACACATTTTTTGAATCAACCTCATTTTTTAAACCTCAATTTAAATTACTTATTTCGGTTAATGCTTTCCCTTTATCACTCTACCTGCACTTGCTTCATTCTTCAGCCTCCTTAGTTTTTACTACCTTCACCCCTCCTAAACAGTTCTAAATATTATTTCTTAAGCCAATCGGAATACAGTGCATCTGTTGTTTTGGTCTGTAGGCAGCTAGAGTTTTTGCTACCAATAACAGAACCGCTGGAACTGTTAGTATAAGTATTCCATGTTAGTGATGTTACTTGGATGCTCCCAAATGCCGGACACAATTACACCAGGACCACTGATCATGAGCTGCATACCTCCGGTTAGTACCCACCGCTTCCTCGATGTGTGTGCGCCATCTCTTCGTAGGCCGTTTGAGTGGTCATTCGCGCGTGCCACCCTTGACCGGTATAAATTTTTATATTTAAATTTTGATTTATACAAAGTTTGAAGCTGAAATTGTGGCCATTGCACTTGGCAATGTTGGCAATCGAGGCGAAGAGAGCACTGCTGTGCGCGTTTGATTTGTGTAATGATACGGTGCTGATGTAGTCCTTTGATGTTCAGGACGAATTCGAGGCCGCTGCATTGTCCCATTGGGCCTGTAATCCACTAAGTTAAACTAATCACTAAACTAATCAGGTAATGATGCCAAGAAATCATTTTTTTTTATTTGAAAAACCATTTTTTTCTGAAAAAATCATTTTTTTTTTTCGTTTTTTCAATGCAGTCCCTCACTACTAATCAGATAGTGA